ATAATTAACATTTATGACGGCATGCGACGACACGACTTGCTTATTGCGACATTTATTCATAACGTCAACTATATTCGTTATAAACGTTGGTGTACCCAAAATATATAATGGCACATAGCTTAACAGTATTAAAAATACAGACGCAATTGGAGCAGTACTTCGATTTTAACCTATAAGTTTGTTATAAGCGTCGGATATGAATTTAACTAAATTTGATCAATATGGTAGGATAATTTAGCATTAATAAAAAACATTGGTTTCTAGCGATCTGGATATGATGAACCTAATTGTAAATAATTGTAATCTTCGCTATAAAAGTGACCTTGGTTATAAGGAATTTCTGGTTATAAGGAATATTTTCTCTGGTCCCGTCGAATTCGTTATAACCAAGTTTGACTGTATATGTGGATTAATTTTTAAACTCCTCGGCCATGTAACTCTGATTTTAATATTTTAATTGAATAAATTAACTTTTGGCGGGGCCCGATCTCCGAGTATATCGAGAACCCAGCACTTACGTGTCCGCACATTTTTTTGCCACTCTGATTTTCATCAGAACTGCCTGTCATGTCAACATAATAAAAAAAAGAAGAAGCTCTATCGATTGCAATTAAAAAAGTTGGAACTGCTTAGACCAATCCCACTGACTCAATGTTAAAAATATGTAGGCAAAAGATAGTCGTAACTGAAAAGGCAATGGTTCAGATACAGGACAAATCTAGATGACCTGCAATCTTAATAATAATCCAGTCTCGCTAATACGCGTCTGTTTCAAGGAATGAAAGTAGGTTTCTCACAAATCATTAGATTGGGATTATAGCTCATAGTAGCTTATTGAATTCTGATCAAACTTGTTAAACTATCACGCGTAACTATCTAGAGAGCACGTCTAATCATGCAAGACAAAAATTTGTCCAAAAATTGATCTATTATCCGTTATGTGACTACAATTACAAAGATTGGATACGTTCGAAATCACATAAGGTATGCATTATTGGATCGCTCTCCTGCACCCTTCGAAGGAAAGCTAGGAAAAAGTTCAGAATCCTTTGGCAATGGACTTTCCCTATCAAACATGTAGTACACATTTAGTATGGAGTAAATGATTGTATAAAAGCTCACTCTACTTACATAAAATATGGATGTTTTAACGCTTTCTCTGCTGTGATTCTTTTAGCTGGATCATATGTGAGCAATTTCGACATGAGGTCGATCCCATTCTCAGTCAAATACGGAAACCGACTTCTTAGAGTGCTGTGGCTGGTAGAGCAAAGACTGTTAATAAGCAATGACTAACAACGTGAAATCAGACGTAATATAATTGTGGCAATTGCCTTTGCTTGACAAATGTAATATTTTTAGCATTCGGTAATTTAGAGAAACCAGGCCATATTTTTTCATTAGGCATCCCCAGTAACCTGAATATCTACAAATATAGTTGACGTTATGAATAAATGTCGCAATAAGCAAGTCGTGTCGTCGCATGCCGTCATAAATGTTAATTATCAACCTTATCTAATTGATCAATTTCAGTTCTACCAGGTAATACAGGCTCTTTATTGACCAGCTCTCCGAATATGCAACCAACTGACCACATGTCAATTGCAGTCGAATACGTCTTTGACCCGAGTAACAATTCGGGTGCCCTAAATTAAGAAAAAATAGAATATAATCATCCGGAAAACAAAATGGCTGGGTTCGCAAAGTAAAATTCCCAAATTTTCGGCAATCATACCTATACCATAAAGTAACAACAACATCAGTCATGGGACCAAGAGGACTGCCGTATGATCTCGCAAGTCCGAAATCTGCGACCTTAATTTGCCCTCGATTATTCAAAAGCAGATTCGATGTTTTCAGATCACGATGAATAATCCAATTGTCATGTAAAGTAGCAACAGCAGACAACAGTTGAATCATTATAGTTTTGACTTCAGATTGTAGAAAAGGGCTTTGCATATCTTCCATCAAACTTTTCAAATCATGCTCAACAAAGTCCATTACAATAAATATTCTCAGATCATAGAATAGGTATAGTGCTCAATTAATTAGCGGTAACGATTTTTTTTGTTACAAGGCGGAGGTAGAAGACAATGAGTCATACTTACTGCGTCAAAGTCTCTCCAACCACAATCTCACGTACGTTCACAATGTTAGCATGTTTCGCTTGTAGCAGTGTTTTCACTTCTCTCAAAGAAGTTATTGGAAATCCATTTTTTTCCTTATCTAATTTTAATTTTTTCAATGCCACTATTTCTCCTGTAGCTCTATCTCTTGCCCGATAAACCACACCATAGGCACCCTCTTCTATTCTATTCAGTTTCTCGTAATTATCTACACTACGACAACCGGCAAGTATTGGTGGCTTTGGTTTTCGGGGCGTTCCAGCTTTTTCGCTGGCTGATTGGTCCGCCTGATCTCGCTGAGGAACAGGCGATTCTTCCATGGGTTCTGTGGCATTCTCGAATGCAGGTGGTGTGCTTGTGTTCAGTGCAGGAGATTGAGAAGCCTCAAGTGTTTGAGCTTCATCAGCTGTTTGCTTCTTTTTCTGGTTGGCCTCGTCAGTCTCACTGAGAGTGCCGACTTCCTCTTCGTTTTCAAAAACTTTTGTTTTTTTAGATCCGCGTTTTTTCTTTCCTGCCTTACGCTGTACTCCAGCCTCTTCATTCTCGCTTTCCGACTCCCATTTAGATCTTTTACTTTTTGTTTTAACTGGTAAAGGCGATCCTGATACAGGTAACTGTGCTTGCTCAACGTTTCCAGACGGAGTTTCTTCCATTAATCACACAAACTTTAGACGTTGCAGGGTTCTTGTAAATACGGATAAAATAAGGTTTGGTTTTTAATGTGACATCACCGTTTGCTGTGTAACATAAATATCTCACCATACTGATTTTTGGCAATAGTTTTTTTGCCGCAACTTAGAGATCTAGAGCCACAAGATGATGCAACCGTCACTCGATCATTCGTCGGAACCAGGAACAACGGACTTTTGGGCTCACAAAAATGCTCTAGAGAAAGTAGGTTGACTTACTGTTAGTGGGTAACACTTGGTGTCATCATGTCGCCATCATGTGTAAAGGTACTGATTACAGCTAAGGAATGCCTGTACCTTTATGCTGATCGCTTCTGTTTATGAGAATGTTCAGTCGTTACGCTGGGAATAAATAGATAACATGTTCGACATCAAAGTCAGTAATGCCGCTTTTGTAAGGTGTATTAACATTAGTTGTCTTTAAATTAGCGCTTTCAAAAATTTCTCGACGAAGCAACGCCATATTCCACATATCGATGGGCTGCAACAGCTACACTTTTGCTTGTGTTTATAATTAGAATTTTTACAATTCAAGGATTTTACATTGTCACATACGTAAGTATTAGAGATGAGTCAAAGTCACTAGAGAATGTTTGCTAACAGACGCCTGTTGTTATTTATGTAGGCATTAGGCATCTATTTACTCAATCTCTTCCTCGCTTTCCTGCAACCAAAGTTTGATCCGTCATTGGAGAGGGAGATTGAAGAGAATGAGGCCGAAGATGGACCAACACTGCCGACAAACGCGAACGAAGAGTTCCGGCCGTTCATCCGACGTTTACCGGAATTTAAATTCTGGTGAGTATGTGACAGTATATTCTGTTAATGTGTGTGTATGCTGACTAATATCGTGTCTTTATTAGGTATTCTGCAACCAAGGCCACGATCATATCATTAGTTGCGACTTTGTTTAGGATATTAGATATTCCTGTCTTTTGGCCAATACTGCTTATGTATTTCTTGATTCTCTTTGCTATCACAATGAAGCGGCAAATCAAGCATATGATGAAATATGGGTGAGCAGTCCACTGCAATTTGAGTCGGGTTGTAGAGCATTCATTGATGCGCATTAATCTGTTCATTTTTCGAATTCAAGGTATATTCCATTTGACATTGGCAAGCGAAGATATACCAACAAAAAGTGAAGAGTACTGTCGACGGTCGATAACATAAAGAATATCATTTACTCCCCACCTAATACTTATTGCAAGGGTTTGATATGTACTCTGTTTTTTCCTTTCAAATAGCTAGTTTCTGATCATATTTTAATAGTCGATATAGAATATTCTTAAACTCAAAGGTAGACATAATTATTGATTATTCATAAAGTTACTTCGCGTTTGCGGCTACGTCAACATATATATCAAATCGGCGCTGCATGGACACTGGTATAGATTGGCGAACGGTTTGCAATTGTTGAAGGTCTAATAATATTATGGCAAATAGGAAAGGTGAAGTAATTGATAGAAAAGAATCAAATGTCAATCCATTCCGGATATGGGAATATCTTACCAATCTCTGCATATACTGTTGCCTCCTCATGTTCCGTTGTAGCAATAATTTGTCCACTTAGTAAAACACAGTAAGAGGTTGACATGTTAATTATCAACCTTATCTAATTGATCAATTTCAGTTCTACCAGGTAATACAGGCTCTTTATTGACCAGCTCTCCGAATATGCAACCAACTGACCACATGTCAATTGCAGTCGAATACGTCTTTGACCCGAGTAACAATTCGGGTGCCCTAAATTAAGAAAAAATAGAATATAATCATCCGGAAAACAAAATGGCTGGGTTCGCAAAGTAAAATTCCCAAATTTTCGGCAATCATACCTATACCATAAAGTAACAACAACATCAGTCATGGGACCAAGAGGACTGCCGTATGATCTCGCAAGTCCGAAATCTGCGACCTTAATTTGCCCTCGATTATTCAAAAGCAGATTCGATGTTTTCAGATCACGATGAATAATCCAATTGTCATGTAAAGTAGCAACAGCAGACAACAGTTGAATCATTATAGTTTTGACTTCAGATTGTAGAAAAGGGCTTTGCATATCTTCCATCAAACTTTTCAAATCATGCTCAACAAAGTCCATTACAATAAATATTCTCAGATCATAGAATAGGTATAGTGCTCAATTAATTAGCGGTAACGATTTTTTTTGTTACAAGGCGGAGGTAGAAGACAATGAGTCATACTTACTGCGTCAAAGTCTCTCCAACCACAATCTCACGTACGTTCACAATGTTAGCATGTTTCGCTTGTAGCAGTGTTTTCACTTCTCTCAAAGAAGTTATTGGAAATCCATTTTTTTCCTTATCTAATTTTAATTTTTTCAATGCCACTATTTCTCCTGTAGCTCTATCTCTTGCCCGATAAACCACACCATAGGCACCCTCTTCTATTCTATTCAGTTTCTCGTAATTATCTACACTACGACAACCGGCAAGTATTGGTGGCTTTGGTTTTCGGGGCGTTCCAGCTTTTTCGCTGGCTGATTGGTCCGCCTGATCTCGCTGAGGAACAGGCGATTCTTCCATGGGTTCTGTGGCATTCTCGAATGCAGGTGGTGTGCTTGTGTTCAGTGCAGGAGATTGAGAAGCCTCAAGTGTTTGAGCTTCATCAGCTGTTTGCTTCTTTTTCTGGTTGGCCTCGTCAGTCTCACTGAGAGTGCCGACTTCCTCTTCGTTTTCAAAAACTTTTGTTTTTTTAGATCCGCGTTTTTTCTTTCCTGCCTTACGCTGTACTCCAGCCTCTTCATTCTCGCTTTCCGACTCCCATTTAGATCTTTTACTTTTTGTTTTAACTGGTAAAGGCGATCCTGATACAGGTAACTGTGCTTGCTCAACGTTTCCAGACGGAGTTTCTTCCATTAATCACACAAACTTTAGACGTTGCAGGGTTCTTGTAAATACGGATAAAATAAGGTTTGGTTTTTAATGTGACATCACCGTTTGCTGTGTAACATAAATATCTCACCATACTGATTTTTGGCAATAGTTTTTTTGCCGCAACTTAGAGATCTAGAGCCACAAGATGATGCAACCGTCACTCGATCATTCGTCGGAACCAGGAACAACGGACTTTTGGGCTCACAAAAATGCTCTAGAGAAAGTAGGTTGACTTACTGTTAGTGGGTAACACTTGGTGTCATCATGTCGCCATCATGTGTAAAGGTACTGATTACAGCTAAGGAATGCCTGTACCTTTATGCTGATCGCTTCTGTTTATGAGAATGTTCAGTCGTTACGCTGGGAATAAATAGATAACATGTTCGACATCAAAGTCAGTAATGCCGCTTTTGTAAGGTGTATTAACATTAGTTGTCTTTAAATTAGCGCTTTCAAAAATTTCTCGACGAAGCAACGCCATATTCCACATATCGATGGGCTGCAACAGCTACACTTTTGCTTGTGTTTATAATTAGAATTTTTACAATTCAAGGATTTTACATTGTCACATACGTAAGTATTAGAGATGAGTCAAAGTCACTAGAGAATGTTTGCTAACAGACGCCTGTTGTTATTTATGTAGGCATTAGGCATCTATTTACTCAATCTCTTCCTCGCTTTCCTGCAACCAAAGTTTGATCCGTCATTGGAGAGGGAGATTGAAGAGAATGAGGCCGAAGATGGACCAACACTGCCGACAAACGCGAACGAAGAGTTCCGGCCGTTCATCCGACGTTTACCGGAATTTAAATTCTGGTGAGTATGTGACAGTATATTCTGTTAATGTGTGTGTATGCTGACTAATATCGTGTCTTTATTAGGTATTCTGCAACCAAGGCCACGATCATATCATTAGTTGCGACTTTGTTTAGGATATTAGATATTCCTGTCTTTTGGCCAATACTGCTTATGTATTTCTTGATTCTCTTTGCTATCACAATGAAGCGGCAAATCAAGCATATGATGAAATATGGGTGAGCAGTCCACTGCAATTTGAGTCGGGTTGTAGAGCATTCATTGATGCGCATTAATCTGTTCATTTTTCGAATTCAAGGTATATTCCATTTGACATTGGCAAGCGAAGATATACCAACAAAAAGTGAAGAGTACTGTCGACGGTCGATAACATAAAGAATATCATTTACTCCCCACCTAATACTTATTGCAAGGGTTTGATATGTACTCTGTTTTTTCCTTTCAAATAGCTAGTTTCTGATCATATTTTAATAGTCGATATAGAATATTCTTAAACTCAAAGGTAGACATAATTATTGATTATTCATAAAGTTACTTCGCGTTTGCGGCTACGTCAACATATATATCAAATCGGCGCTGCATGGACACTGGTATAGATTGGCGAACGGTTTGCAATTGTTGAAGGTCTAATAATATTATGGCAAATAGGAAAGGTGAAGTAATTGATAGAAAAGAATCAAATGTCAATCCATTCCGGATATGGGAATATCTTACCAATCTCTGCATATACTGTTGCCTCCTCATGTTCCGTTGTAGCAATAATTTGTCCACTTAGTAAAACACAGTAAGAGGTTGACATGTTAATGTATTAACTATGTATGCAAGAAAGTAGACATTAAAAGACGCCAATACCTTGGATCTACAACAGTTGAATGACCCCATGCATTGTATGTCGCATTCATATCACGCGCGGGAGAACAAGTTGCTACGAACAACTGTCAAAACCATAGAGTTTGTTAGACGAATTACATTGCTTGGCAGACTAAAGCCCCGTAGTTTACCTGATTATCGACTGCCCTGGCTCGTTGCAATACTAGCAAAATGATCCACGGTCAATTATCCATTATACAAACACGCGAAAATCATGAGAAAGCAGATACTCACATTCCCAATGCAGCGGCCCAGTTATCATATTGAACGCCCCAGGATAAATCATCATAACACAAGCTACAAATACGTCTCAATATTCAACACATATCGATGGGTTGAATGAATGGAAAAAACTGTATTATCAATGAACAATAACCTTTACGCGCAGCAATCATTGCTAGTTCTGGAAATCTCATATCATAGCAAATGCCTATGCTCATTTTACCATAAGCTAATCGTAACGTGCGCATCGTATTAGTTAACAAAAATTCTGATATTACGAGTAGTCTCACTGTTATAATAGCACTCACCGGTATCAAAAATCGTCAAAGAGTTTCCTGGTTTCAATATGTCGCTCTCTTGGAATCTGATTTTACCGGGGATATCGATATCAAATAGATGTATCTTTCGATGCGTGGCAATCAATTCTCCTATTCAACCGAGTATTTGCTTAGACTTTACATGAATTGCGTGCATGTGTGTACAAATGTATGTGTATATACGTGCCTTGAGGATTATACACAGTGCATGTGTTGTACAATTTGCCGGATTCTTTGTCTCGTTCCGGAATGGAACCTTTGCATGGAATACATTGGTGAATATCAGAAATAAAATATGATCCCCTTCCGTTACTCACCCCCTACAAGAAGAACTTTGGCTTCCTGATATCGAAATAAGAACTATTATTAACCTTGTTGCCATTATTGTCGCATATACTGGCTGGTAGACTTACTTTTGCCGCTTGTGATAGTACAGAGACGCTTTCTCCTTCAGGAATACTCTCTGCATACTCGGCAAAGTATTGTGTTCCATACGGAGAGTTGAAACATTCCTGACTTGCGTAAAGTCATGGACGATCAATAACAGTCGAAACTAGGTGATTTGCCACTTCAATATTAACACTCACGGGCAGAACTACAACGTTGGCCCCTTCTCGAGCCGCCTCCAATATTTTACCCTTTGCACGATCGAGGTTGGTCCTCTTATTAGAACCAACAGCAAGTTGTATACAAGCTAGCTTAAACGAATTTGATGTCATATGTCTACTAAACGTGAAAGGACGTTGCAACAAGGATCTCAAACTTGTCTTAGTCCCGATTACGCGGAACAGCATTTCTGAACTGACGATACCAAATTGAAACAGATTATCTTCATCTCATTCAAGTATCACAAATCATGTGCAAAAATGTTTACTTCGTGTCAGATCATTCAAGCGAAAGCTATATACACAAGCGTTAATTGCATTTAAAACACTTTACTGCATTTAGTACTATTCAATCTAAGTTATGATAAAAGACTATTAATGACTAAACAATTTAAGGCTTCCTAGAAGCACTCTCCTATCTCTTCTCAAGTTTTGTTAATCTTCTCCACCATCAGCACTAGCTACCGGTGCAGCCAACAAAGTGGGATCAGTCGATGTGGTTGCTTGACCCTCGTGCGATATCTCACTACTGTCAACGGGTAATGTCGATGATTGTCCACCTTGCAAAGGTTCTCCCTCATGAACAGTAGGCGACGTATCTGTGAGAGCCGTATTCTGCGCCGTTGCATTGTGCCATGCCATCTGCAATGTTCCGATGTCTGGAATATTTGTCCCCTTTAACATTGCCTATTGTAAGAGGGAGGGAATGTTAGGACCGTATCTATAAAATTACAAATATAACAACATTACGAACCTGTTCAGCATCTTTTCTGCTCTTATATTGTACAATTGCTGTCTTAGTAACGTCCGCAAACGACATCGTTTCAACTTCGCCAAATTGCTGATATAAATGCATTGGATCAATTTCAGAAGTAATTATATTAGCAGTTCTTATAATATTCGTGTTCGTCACAAACACCAGATTATGCAAGTTGTCTATCCAATACCTAGACATTAAAATAATTTCACAAAATATTCTAGACTACTCTTAATGCATAAGGCGCATATAACGGTGTATGCAATCTTTTCTTTTTTCACTATAGGTCATTATTAAAATCTCCTTTTTCATCTTTTTTTCTCTTCATTTTGTACTTGTAAATTCTTTTTTATCCATTTTCATCTTTTCTTTTGTTCTTTTGTCTTTCTTTAGCCATTCCCCCTCCTCTTGATTTTATTTTTTTATTTCTTTTCTTTTTCTTTTTCTTCTTTTTTTGCAAGCATGAAAAACCAACCTCAAAATAAGCGCGCAACGCTTCTTTTGTTCCCACAGGTACTTCTTTCACCAACAATTTTGTTGTACGATTATCTAATTTGTATGAACGCATTACGCCGCCACCACGTGCGCGTGGCCATCCGCCACGGGCTCCTCTAGCACGATAGAATGTGCCGCGTCCACGGCCTCTATATGTTGACGCATCGCTTGTAGTGCTCGAGGCTGCCGCGGCTGCCACGGCTGCCAACGGTTCCCCCTATAATGAAATTGAAAATTCATTAATTACTTATTGTACGACCATGCGCTGCACGTAGCAAGAATGTTCACTCTTTTCACCTCGGTCTTCGGGGCCTCCGAAGTCGTCTGTTGTTGTTGCTGTGTTTCAGCTTCTAAGGAATCACCAGTAACTTTCAGTTTTCTTAAAGCATCCAGTTCACGATCCAGTTGTTCACGATCTTTTTCATCCATCAGAGTTTTCGTAAGGAAGACATTACCTGTGGTGGGATTCCGGGCTGCATTTATACTGGTATCAACCTTTATTTCTAGAGATACTTTGCTTAAGGTCTTCTCTAATTCTTCGCGCATTTTGGGATCAATCTTCTTCTTTTCAGATAATTCGATGAGTGTTTTCTCTGCCTGAATGTGGCGCTCCATAAGATCAGCCTGTGCTTTATATAAGGCCTTTAAACTATCTTCCTTCCTCTTTTGCGCTTCCAAGTCTAGAGGCTGTTGAGCGGGTGTCTCTGCTTGATTAATTAAAGATGTGTCCGGCTTGGCAAGAGCAGAACTGGGTTTAACCGAAGTTGCTGTTAGAGTCTGTTGCTCATCCTTGTCTCCCTTGTGCCAATATACTTTTACAAAACGATTGTCAAATATAGGCTCAGGGGAATTGTAAGCTCTTGCTGCTTCTTGCGAGGTACTGAATTGAACAATTGCCTTCTGATAAGCAAGGTCAACATTAATGTTGGTAATTGTGCCAAATTTTTTGAAAAATTCGTTGACTTTATCTATGGCACAGAATTCGGGTGGTATATTCTCCACAACCAGGGACGAGTTCTTCACACCTTGACCACTGCTAGGTCTTGTAAATCCGCCTCTTCCACCACGGCCACGGCTGCGACCTCTGTAAGATGCTCCTCTTGTGGAAGCATTACCAGAATCCATAAACTGTGACGTGTTCGGTGTAGGTGTTAAGGATATAGTAGATTCCGAATGATTTCCTTCGGTTAATCCTTGTAATTCGTTATCCTTATTCTCATGGATGGGAGAGGGGATTAACTCTTCAGGCCTCGATAAAGTCGCTCTCTCGGGATCATATGCGTCTGCTGACGGATTCAATGGACGAGAAGGCTGTCCGGCTAAATTTTGTAATGCGTACAGTTAGCGAAAGCCCTAAACTAGTTGTCACACTTATTTAATAGCCGGCTATCTTAAAAACATACCAAATGCTGGATCAACATCAAAGGAATTGCGACCAGCACCTGCACCCATGAAAAATGGCGGCCTTCCTGGAACTCCACCACCCATCATACCCATAGCACCAGCCAACGGATTAGCATTAATTGGTTGTATGATATCAAAGGGGGGTCTGTTCATGGGAACCTCATCAACGACTATTCTATCAACACCGTGATCAAATGGACAAAGGTCACCACGCATGCAATAGCCCTTTTCTAGTAACGAGAAATGTGTAAGTATGGTTCAGGGTAGAATGCTGCAATGTAAAGAATAAGAAAGCCAAGAACATACCATCATAATCACGGCATCGTTGTCGTCTCCCCGGCCGAATATCAGAATATCCGCCACGAACGCCCATAGGATTACCTCGTCCGCCACCTCGTTCATTTATCCTTCCACCTCGCATCCTCCTATCATCAAAACGATCACCTGCTGGCATGTTAAGACCATTTGAATTCCAATCACTTCCCCATCTTCCTGGACCTATAGATGAATTTATGAGTTAGCCTGAAAATAATAAGAATTTGACCATTCCAATTGCTTTTTTTTCTCTTTTCACTCTCACCATTTACATTACCGGAAACATAGCCATTTCCTGTTCCAGTAACATTCTGATGCGAATTGTTCCTTGGAACTTTATTCGAGCGGAACTCTTCTTCTGAATCGTCTCTACGTCGCTTAAAACGATCGTCTGAATAATTATTATTGTACTGAGTCCCTGCTGCAGGTCCTGTTGGAATGCCTTCACCACGAAATCTCTTGTTTTTCCCATCTCGCTCGTCCTCACGGCCCGAATAATTGATCGAACGGTCACCGTAGCGTTTGTATTCATCTTTATTATGATTCCCACGTTCTTTGTGCTTGTAATTTCTATCGTCATCATCGGATGCTTCACTATCTTCTCTCTTCCTGCCAGGTTTTGATGACGGTTTATCTATTTTTTCTGCCGAGTTATCTTTTTCTTGTTTGGCATCGGTCTGTGAAGAGCTTGCAGAGGCAACATTCTCTGGTTGATCGGGTCCTTTACTTTTTGTGCTGAGATACTCTTTACTTGATAGATAATCGAACAGATTCTGTACAAAAGGCTCTGTTTCTATATTAGCATAAATTCGATAGTTAGTAGTCTGCCTAAAGATCTTAAGGGATACTGGAGGTTATTCTTAAGCATCGCAAAATCACAGTCTCTTTATTATAGTTATTATATCTTTTTTTAGCAAGATAATAGTTACCTTTTTTTAGAAAATCGTCTAGCTGTGTTATACACAATTGTTTCAAGTCTTGATTAGACTTGTCGTGTTTCAACAAGGCAACCACATAGTCAGCTAAGACATCGGGATCAGCGTCACATCTTGGTTGACCAATAAGTAGAACGAGATGTTAATAACCAGACAATACATTCCCCTTGCATATATAAAAAATTGTTATTAGATATGCGAGGTAAGCCTTACATTGGACCTAAATTGTCACTGAGGTATTTCTTCAAGCGGTTTAACGCGGTTGGATCGTCAAAGATCATAACTTTGTGATGGAAATGGTTGAGGACTAAGTTTGTGTGGAAGTTTTAACTACGAGGAAACCAGTAAAGCGTGTTGAGATCTTCCGAACAGTAGGTAAAGAAATATCTACGTACACGTTGACGGATGGATGACTGGGGAAGTCTCACCGACGTTTGGTCAGTAATATGATTGTAATTTAATTCAGGCGCAGTTGCGGCCGTCATAACCAATAATTTCTTGGCCGCAGCACATTCTAAAAGGGTAATGATGATAATTTTTGTGTGTGATCTTGCTGGAATACATCGTGTCTCCGCGCCTTAACTTTTAAGCCCGTAACTACGTACGAAGTCCTTGAGTCATCAACAAAACTTTAAAGACTAACGCGATACATTCTGACCCTTCAGTAAATTATAGTTAGTGACATTAATGCATTATCTATTACTATATATGTTAACTGAATGTCCTGAGAATTTAGTGCCATGTATTGTGATGGATCAGCCGATCGTATTGCGGTGTTTCCTAATCCAGCCTGACTGACAAAGTTTGCACTCCATCATCGATAGTGACTGTGAAACAGAAACACCCTCCGAAAAACCACAATGGACCAATGGCTTGAATGCGAAGTCAGTGGTCCACCAAACCAACATAGCATTCAAATAGAATGCACGCGTCAACAATTTAACATATCATACAGTGAAATTACGGGAGCAATCCCACAAGTTTATGGCTTATAACTTTACAGAAAATATATCCAGTGCAGACGATATCTTTATTCATAGCCTTTAAATAACTAGATCATGCTGCATTTGTTTACGAGATGAATTACAACAAGCACGAATTTCTGCGCATTGGTATATCACATCGTGCAAACACCTTCCATCGAAACAAACAACAAACAAGAAATGTCGACTGTGGAACGGGAGTTGGACGACGCGAAGAAACAGCTGACGAAGGCGGAGACGGTGCTGGAGTTCAAGGGTGGGAAGTTGCTAGATAAGTCAAGACCGAAACGGCGACACAGCAACGAAAGTATTTGTTATTCCAATACCTTATCTAATCCATCTGCCTTTTTTCATTAATAGCTACTCTGATACCAGCCTCAATGGATGTGACCTTGAGATGAAAGCATTATGTTCCCATGGACGAGATGGTGAAAAGACTAAAGAAAACTGTACCTTCCGGTTACTGCAAATCTATCGTTCCGTGTTTACAACTTTCAATCCAGTCTGAAAGCTGAGGTGGATGACTTTGAATTACTTGGAAAACTTCTATTCAACATACAAGAGATTTATGATGTTGTATCCATTCAATGCATGATTTTGAGAAATAATAGTGGTTATGAGAAATGTAAATAATTAGTCACGTGTTAAATTAAAAAAAATGTGGGCCATCTAAATAATAAAAAATTAATTATATATTAAGCTATGATTGAGAAGTAATAAAATTTATATTTTAATTTACAAAAAATGCAAAGTGTTATCTATTCAATATTCATCATTTGGTTTTACCATCTACAGTTGTTGGCTATTGTACTACTAATTTAGATTGGTTGTGCATTGTATGAATTAGATTATTGTTATAGCCAAAACTCAAATGGTTGCTAAACTGGATTTAACTTGTTCAAAACAATGCTCCCGGATTTCACAAAAAGCATAAACTTGATTTATTTTATATTATCGCCTCAAGAATATCTTTAATTTTTAGAGAGATATTACTTGTCCCAAAACGAGTGGCGCGTTTCAAGTAAATAATCTAATAGAGCACTATTTTTTGTATAAGTGTAGTACAGCTCATTATCCCGCACACTACCCGCATTGAATTATCAAATAAACACGTTAGTATTAGCACTGAGCTAAATATTTTTTAGGTTAGTATTAGAATGTAAAGAGAAATTAAAAGATTTGGTAAGCTAATTCAGCCAAAGAAAACAGCAGCGAATCAACGGATACCAGAACAAGAAGTTGCTCAACATTTGTGTAACAATGACACGACGAGGGCGACGATAAATAAACGGGATATATTAATGTCCGCAATGAATGATGACAGATTGGAGTACAAAGGTTGATAATTAATTTTTTCCTGGTGCAGTACTGACAAATGCAATGATCCAGGAGAGACTTTCAGAGGTAAAAGCAGAATTCTCCTCACTTTGAAAAAAAAAAGGTCTATTTCAACTCTCGACAGTATTTATGGCAAACTGCTGTCCAACGCTCTGAATTCTTTCTACCAACTCCCTGAACATAGCCTTCTGTTCTGGAGTAGGATGTACTCTAGATGGCTCGTTCGTGCAACCTTCTGGAGCACCTATTTATGAGAGTAAGAAACAAGAGAATATTAATTACAATTGACACACTCATCTATACTCAAATCTCATAGATACGTTTCCAACTGGCTGACTAGCGCTAAACTCACGAGTAACCTATAAATAGTTGATTCTTACCATTTCGCCATTCGAAGCCGTCTGTCTGAAACGAAATAGATATATCAAGGCCGTAGATATCCTCACCACCCTCAGGTTCTTCACGAGGGAGAATAGCGAGGTACGTGCGGAGGTCAACACCAAGCACGGCGAGTTCTCGACTGATTCAAACAGGCAAAAAGATCGAGTCAGCAAGTAATTGACGCACGAACATGTTTATACAAGCGAAAATGTACTTTTGGTTTACCTTGACACTTCACCCTGTTGAACAACATAGTCGTCCTTATTTTTCAGCGTAGACTGCTTGACGAATCCAATAGTACCATCACTGCTTAACTCTATGACACGCCTGAAAGAAATTACAATAAAAAGCGTTCTCTTATCAATACACTTAACGACACATGCTACTAGTGCAAAAGCTACAACTAACCAAACTCGATCGTAACCCTACCATTTATATTTTTTATCCTCATTCTCGAAGACACTCACACTAACCTTATAGTTGGTGGTTTGAACCCACCAGCGATCCCTTCGGTTAACATTAGAAAATAAGTCATGTTCGCTACCGGACTATCTCCTAGATCTTTATTGTGGTCAGTATTTGAAGGATACAAATCATATAACCCTCTGTTTGAATCCGAATCAGTTATTAGTGAAAGCAACCCTGAAAGGGTGAGTATGAAGGCGGTGAGAAGGAAAAGAGTCTTGTAACTGATCATGGAGCAATGAGTAAGGGGTTAAGAGGAATAATGGAGATATCCCCTTTTCATTCAATGAGACATTGAATACTAATACAGATGCGGTTACTCCATGTGATATACGGGTCGATTCCCACGATTCCTGATTCAATGGAAGGGTGTTCTTTAACAAGTGCGTGCTTTTTATTTGTTCTATACAGTGCAATGCATCTTGCAAAATTAATATTAATATGCCTTTTCTTGATAAATTACTGGCTTGCCATGCTGAATTTATCGATATTCTAAAAGCGGGTAATAATTTTTGACTATCACATAATTAAAATATCAAAATAAACGGTTAATTTTTATTAATATTAATATTCATAGCAATTTTGTTCGATTTGTTCAATTGCCAGAAAGTCGCCTGAAATTCTAATTCGTCAGTTTCAAAAAGATCTATATGCAATAAACTTCTTTGGAGTTTTACTTAAAAGAAGCCTGGCGTATATTTTTCGAGGTCCTTATTATTATATGCTAAACGATAGAAATATGAGATAGCTTTCCATAACATAAAAATGGCCTGGCTGTCCTATTATCAAAGTCTGTGTAAGGTGCATTCTAGTTAATTACTCTGAGTCATGGTGTCGCCATTATTTTTAATTAGTTTTACAAAAGGTATTTTCACATTCGCTTTATTAGGTAGGTGATTTGAAGCATTCTTTTAAAAAGGCATCCTCTGTACTCAAATTAAATGAGCGTTACCTATAAGGTTGATCAAGAATGAATGTGTGTCATTGCATTGATTCGAAAGCTTTAGCGAGGTTCCCTTAATTTTTAAACGCAAATTTATTGACTGAAATTACATGAACAGTAAGTACAGTCAACTCTGTCTATACCGGCGTGAGTGGTTTGGCGGTTTTGGCCGTTATAGCGAGAGACCGGTATATGATTCAGCCTCGTTATAAGGGGTGATATATGATCTTTTGGTGCAGCGAAATTGGACCGGTATAGGGCGAAACCGGCATAAAAAAGGCGGTAGACAGAGTTGACTGTAATTATTTTTGTGTCGGACCAACAACTTGATTGAGAAAGTGTGGCACTATTGTGTTCAATACTTTGACCCCTGAAATTTGTCTTGTATACACAACAAAACAAAATGGCTGCTGAAGCAGATGTCACTGACATCTGTAATTAAAGTGGGCGGTATGTTATTCTCTCTGAAATCTTAAGACCTGCACATCACGATAATATTATGGAGTCATTGGGCAACTCAACGGGTTCTCCAGAACCAACTAGGTCGAAATGTACGTTACTACAGCGTAATCTGTAAAGGCGCGTCTTTTTCTCTACAAGAGGTGCGCATTCGACTATGAACCATGATTTATGCTACGCCGCTGTATCAGCTTATTTGAATGCTTCTTAGATGTTATCGGTGTCTGTGCGATGGATAGCAAAGCTCGGTCTAAGCCTATGCGTAACATTTTGAATAAACTGATGGCTTCTGGGGAATTTGAAACTATTATATTCGGAGATAAAGTCATATTAGACGAGGGTAAATATAATTATATGCGTACATTTATGACTTTATTTCTCAACATCTTCATGTGTCATCCGATTTTAACTCGTTCCGATACCAGATGTGGAGAATTGGCCGGCCTGCGACTTTTTCTTATCGTTCTTCTCGGTCGGTTTCCCCCTGGAAAAAGCGTGTCGATATGTTGACCTGCGGAAACCTTTTTGTGTGAATGACCTCCCAATGCAGCAGATACTGTGGGATAGGCGTCTTGTCTTGAATCTGTTGGATGCAATTGGTGCTCCCACTCCACGGAGATTGGTCGCAAGCAGAGATGGGGGTCCCAAACTGGATTCTGAAGTCTCTGCCAAGATACAAAGGTTATTTGGTGTCAAAATAGATAAACCTTGTCCAGAAGCAATCGTTGAGATGATTGACAGAGATACGATCGATGTCAACGGGCATCTGATGAGAAAGCCTTTTGTTGAGAAGCCAGTTGATGGAGAGGATCATAACATTCACATATATTACCCCAAGGAAATGGGTGGAGGAGGGCGAAGATTATTTAGAAAGGTAAATAACAAACAAATCGAGAGAATTAGTATACAGTTTGATGCTATGACGATTTTCGATTAAGCCTTTCATTATATATTAGGTGGCGAATAAGTCAAGCCAGTTTGATCCCGATCTATATCTTCCGAGAATGGATAAGTCGTATATTTACGAGGAGTTTATGAACGTCGATAATGCTGAAGACGTTAAAGTCTACACGATCGGATCATCCTTTGCTCATGCCGAGACGCGTAAATCGCCTGTAGTAGATGGAGTGGTCAGACGCAACACAGATGGAAAAGAAGTACGCTATGTTACCACCCTTTCGCCTGAAGATACAAGGATGGCGTGTAATATCTCGTATGCGTTCGGCCAGACTGTCTGTGGATTTGATCTGCTCAGAGTCAATGGGCAGTCACATGTCATTGACGTAAACGGATGGTCGTTTGTCAAAGGCAATGACGACTATTACGCAAAGTGTGCAGAAATACTCCGCGCAACGTTCAAAAATGCCGTACGCAAGCGTAAAGTCAGCATCGACTCGATACCAAAGGAACTCAGTATTGAGAATTCATGGAGATTGAAATCATTTATATCAGTTTTTAGACACGCGGACAGGACTCCGAAGCAGAAAATGAAGTTTTCATTCAAAAGTCAGCCGTTTATTGAGTTATTGGATGGGAGTACCGAAGAGGTGATATTAAGGAAAGAAAAAGACCTGTTGAGAGTAACAGAAGCAACAGAGATGGCCATTGAGTCGCGTTTGGAGAATGCGAATATACTACAACAGCTAAAACGTATACTAGATTTGAAGCGCGATTTACCTGGTACCAAAGTTCAAGTAAAACCGTCGTATTCTAAGAAAACAGGAGACTTTGAGAAATTACAACTGATAGTTAAATGGGGAGGAGAGGTAAGGAAATAGGCCGAATGATATGAAACTAGTATGTGCTGTTTTACTGATACGAATATTATTACATTTTATAGTTTACTCATTCAGCAAGATACCAGGCGAGAGATCTTGGGGAGAATCTTAGAAAGGATTTATTAATTATGAATAAGAGGGTATTTAACGATGTGAAGATATTTACAAGTTCAGAGAGACGTGTAAGCGCGACAGGTAATACTCTGAAACAATGCTGACGGCGAGGAGTAAGATTATCGCAATTTATTATTGGATTTATCTTATTCAATTATTATTCTATTTTCCCATTAAGCTGAAATCTTTGCACACACATTCTTGGATATTGGGGATATTCCTGAAAATGTTATTCAGATTCGCAAAGAAATGCTTGACGATAGTAATGCCGCCAAAGAAGAGATGGATGCTGTAAAAATTCAAATACACGATCTTATTGGAAACGACAATTTATACCAAAAGTATCCTTGGTGGCCTAGAGATATGCCTGAGCCTCAAGTGGTAATTGGGGAGATTATTGAAATGATGAAATACCACCAAAGCATAATGCAGGAGAATTATGCTACAATGGATGTCGACAAGATTCAATCTCGATGGTGTTGTAACGAGTCACCTGCTCTCTTCAAAGAGAGATGGGAAAAACTGTTCAAGGACTTTTGTGACGTGGATAGAAACAAATTCGACCCCAGCAAAGTCTCTGAATTATATGATTCATTGAAATATGATGCGCTACATAATCGACAATTTTTAGAGACTGTGTTTAGTGATAAGAAAGACAAGGATGTCGGTAAAATAAAGAAACTATATCAATGGGCAAAGTTAATGTTTGATCTTGTTGCCCCTCAGGAATATGGCGTTGATGATAAGGATAAGATGGAAATTGGATTGTTGACATCACTGCCGCTGTTGAGGCAAGTAATTGAAGATCTCGAGGCGGCAAAGACTTCAACATCGGAATGTGGAACACGATTATATTTTGTAAGTAGTGACCATGCTTAATGACGATCTCGTTGATTCATTTTATTTTTGCTATACTAAGTTTTTTATGAATATTCACTTTGATTGCTGCAGACAAAGGGTAATTTAATTGTCTTTGATGATATTGCTACTTTGGTTTGATACATTCCTGCTCACGTGAGAATTAACTATCATAGAATCGCATGTGCACACACTTCTCAATGTCGTGCTCTTATCCGGATTACCTACTAAGATACCCAAAAACGACGTTCCAGAATTAGATTGTAAGTGCCAAAACTTTTGTTTTTATACACAAAGTCATTTTTCAGTCTAGTTTATTGCGTAATTCATCTTTGCAACCCGAAATATTTATTATTGGTGGCTTGCCATAGAGTTTGCATGGCGAAAAGCGCACTGTGTAAAAAGGTTACTGATGTCAACGTCAAATTTATCTTACTCTCTGTCATCGTCATTTGAAAACTTAAGATTTAACTCAGATTACGTTTGAAATGTACGAGAGAAATCAAGGCTTTTCTGGTGACAAGGAGTACTCCCTGCGAGTAGGTTTCAGTCCCGGTGCGCACGACCCGAACATCCTTGACTTGCAGTTGGATGCTCGGCATTGTCTCAAAGTTGCACCTAGGAAGTAAGTAATTCAATGAATATGATGTTAACACTCTCGAGGATTGGTTGAAACAGGAAGTTACAAGTAGTCATGTCTTAGGAACTAATTGATGTTATGTTTTGTAATTGTCTAGGAACCTCACTGATCACTTGCCTCTAGACCAGGGACTGTCATATTTCAAAAGATATTTGAATGGCTTTAAAGCAGCCTCCATAGACCATAATTTTGAACCAATGCAAGTAACTAATCATCAAAACCCGTCAAGCGCGTATCCGAGTGCAGCAATATGGCGCGATAGCCCATAATTGTTATCCGTACATGAGTATTCGCATTAAAGGAATGCTGTATCACATGAATCAATGTGATAATTGCTATTAAGCATATATCATACATATTCGCGTTTATTCATCTTCGGTTGCAAATCTTGCTTTCGATTTACAAACTGCTCGGTAACAACCCGTCTGTCTGCGAACGTAAAGCGATCTAAGGACTATTTTCTACGAGTAAGGGGAAAATTACGAGAAGCAGAAGATTGCTAAGAGCAGTTACCAGACAGATCGCACGATCCATAATATTGCGTGGTTTGGATGACATCCATCATTTCACGATTTATGACCCACAGAATCAACGTTGCGAGCAACTGTACTACGAACAACGATCCACGCAAATGCTACTAGGACGAACCTATCATAAATAATAGGAAACAAGTATGGACTGTATTACTTACTAGTAAAACAATGCAGAACTTTCGCTTCATTGAATCATGTAATTAGTATAATTTCTATATTGCACTGATTTTGTTGCTTGCATCGTCCTTCTCTTTTGTTACTTTATTCCTTTGGTGATGGCCATTGAGGATCTCGCTCATAATTTGATCCGATTCTTTTCTTTTCTTTTCTTTTTTATTTTATTTTATTTTTTTGGCAACTTGTCGTCCCCTCCTTTCCTGAGCTTGTTGTATGTTTTCTTTACTTGTGTTGATGTTTAAAATGTATTAAGCGAGAAAAACAAGTCGAATTGGGATATCTTACACAATATGTCGCGCAATGTTTGCCTTCTATTTCTTGGTTGCTTTGATTATTGTTCTGGTATTGTTACTGCCCGTATTGGATTATGCGTTGCAAGACATAGATACTCTACGTATTCGATTCCAATGTACCAAAGAGACAATAAGCCGAAGATATTGGTACTAATATGATAAGTATTTCCCGCCTATATTAAAACCTATCATTACTAATAAATTAGGAATAACAAGTCCTGTCAGGGAATAGGCTCCCGCGTGTAATATATCGAAGAAGAATATTGCGAGCACCATTAATGACTCTATCAAGCTTTGTTTTACATTGGGGACAGCTAAACACCTTAGATCCACCAAGTTTTTATGAATCCACAAATCACCAGGGATGCTCACGTGCCTTATGGATCAAATACTGTTGGAAGCGATAATGTGGCCATGTACAGCCCCCTCCAAAAATCTCTCCTGCTTTTGTGTACTATACGAAGTGCAATAATTTTTGTATGGTTCTGAAGCTAATTGATTATGCT